TACTACCAAGTCGCCAGTTCTCATCTTCCAGCTCCCCAGCTACTCCGTGTACTGAAGTTGTACTACAAAGTCGCCAGTTCTCAGCTTCCAGCTCCACAGCTTGCTCCGCGTACTAAAGTTGTACTAGAAAATCGCCAGTTCTCAGCTTCCAGCTCCACAGCTACTCCGCGTACTAAAGTTCTACTACAAAGTCGCCAGTTCTCAGCTTTCAGCTCCACAGATTGCTCCGCGTACTAAAGTTGTACTACAAAGTCGCCAGTTCTCAGCTTCCAGCTCCCCAACTCTCCGCGTACTACAGTTGTACTACAAAGTCGCCAGTTCTCATCTTCCAGCTCCCCAGCTACTCCGCGTACTACAGTTGTAGTGCAGAGTCGCCAGTTCTCATCTTCCCACTCCCCAGCTACTCCGCGTACTAACGTTGTACTACCAAGTCGCCAGTTCTCGTCTTCCAGCTCCCCGGCTACTCCGCGTACTAAAGTTGTACCACAAAGTCGCCAGTTCTCATCTTCCAGCTCCACAGATTGCTTCGCGTACTAAAGTTGTACTAGAAAGGCACAATCTCCGCAGAGGGTTGCGCGGTACTTTCACAAATCGCGCTCTCGCCTGCATTTCGCGCACTCGACGCGCGCGATCTCCGCAGAGGGTTGCGCGTTAATTTCACAAATCGCGCCCTCGCCTGCACTTCGCGCACTCAACGCGCACGATCTCCGCAGAGGGTTGCGCGGTAATTTCACAAATCGCGCTCTTGCCTGCATTTCGCTCACTCGACACGCACGATCTCCGCAGAGGGTTGCGCGCGCACCGGACGAATCGCACTCTCGCCTGCATTTCGCGCACTCGACACGCACGATCTCCGCAGAGGGTTGCGCGCGCACCGGGCGAATCGCACTCTCGCCTGCATTTCGCGCACTCGACACGCACGATCTCCGCAGAGGGTTGCGTTTTCGGTTGACGCTGTGCGTCCCACCCTCCGCCTTTAAGAGAGAATTTGTAAAGTGGGGAAATGTTTTTCATTAGGACATCTCCCGTGCTAGTTTTCCATGCTAGTTTTCCATGTTCACTCATCACACTTGCATACTCATTGCGTGCTTGCATGCTCATCATTAGACTTGCATACTTTGACACTTGCATACTTCGCACTTGGATGCTTTCGCTCTTCCAGTGTGTGTGTGTGTGTAAGTGTAAGTGTCGAAGTGTCAGTGTCGAAGTGTCAGTGTTCAAAGGATTTTCCGGAAGAGCCCTTCGCAATGCTTTCGGGAACAAACCAAACAATCAAACACAACAAACACGAACTTGCTTTCGCAACAACTCAGAACTACATCCGTTTCATGAAACTGAAATGACGAAAGTCAGCTGACAAGCTAGTTGAAGGTCTGTGAAGGAGGTGAGTCTACGGGCTTTGGGGTGTTCGACTCGACGTGGTGGAAGTACACCAAAAGAAACATTTCTGTATGTTTGGCAAGTTGGGGACAGTCTGTCCACACATGCCCGTAAGTTTTGCAACGGGGTGTGTGTGGAAGAACGTCCGTGGGATGCCGTTTCCTACCTATCACATGTTGTGTACGACGAAGTGAATTCTATGATGGTCGGGCAGTATTTTCGCACTGGCCTTGAATTTTGCAGAACATCAAGCAACTCAGGTTCAGTGGCAAGCCGCAAGAACCATGGAGAGAAGGTGAGAAGAGGCCTCCATGGAAGGTACACTCTCACAACAATGCTAGCCAAGTGCTGTAGTCCCTGTATTGGATCAGAGCTGAGCGAATCACTTGGCAAGGGGGCCAGTTTCGAACTAGCACAGAAAAGGGCTATATACAATGTTACCAATTTGGACACGTTTGCGGCCTTCATGGATCAGACATTGGAAGACCATCCAGCTTGCTGAATAGAACAACTGAATAGACAACTTGCTAGTGCTGTGCCTTTTCGACTGAACAGTTTGGTCTAAGCTTTGCATTTCCAGGCAGTGCAAGATGGTGTTTATTGGAAAAAATTTGGATCGGGAAGAGCTGAACAAGAAGTTCGACGAATGCCTGGTGAAGTGATATTGAACCGCAGCAAAGCAGACCATAGTCGCTTTCAACGAAGAACCCTTTTTGACTAGGTTGGAGGCCATCGCTAGTAGGTTGGAGGCCATTGGAATTAGGTTGGAGGCCATGAAGAACCCTGTTTGACCTCCAGAGATTTTCAGACTTGCGATTGTTATGTTTCTTCCATGCGATGCACAGACTCACAGCCCAGGGTTACAAGATCGCTTCAAGAAGGGTGCTCCTGTTGAGGCAAACTGCCGAAGGAACGACAACAAAGAGATCAATCTGGCAATGCTCAGCTTAGCCGCTGAGCCCCAGGAGCACAAGTGATTCTTGGCCTAAAACTTACTTTAGTTCGAGCTATCTCCACGCGACAAAAAGATCAAAGAGAGAAGCGCACAACGCATAGGGGCTCGTGATTTGTGTGGTTCCCTTGACCAGTCTGGAGCCCTTGAACTCCTTCGGGCAGTGATGTCCTTTCCCCGTTAGTTTTTTTGTGCAGTCATGCGCCATTTCGGTTTGAGTGTTTCAAGTCGCACCATGACCCACAATGTGCCCGTGACCTTTCTTTGGGTATAGTATGGAGCCCTGAAGCCACGCCCAAATGTGTTTGTCTGGTTCTGAGAAGCAACAAGGGCTTGAGGCAGCCTGTTGGCTGGATGGACGGACCTTGCCAAAGTGATCTCTTGAGGGAAAATTGCTTCAAGTTGTTTCGTTAAGCATCAAGCCGTTGGTTGGGAGGGCCCTTGAAGCGCCCAAAGTGCAAGCGTTTCCACATGTTGCCGTGATGCTGCATGGCCCTTCCAAACAGCAACAAACTTGATCATACCCCGATCCTACCTACAGCACGGTCCAGTGATCAAATGTGCTGCCGTCGGCTGTGCCTCTTCGGTCAACTTTTTCCCACGACCTGGATTAATAGCATGACATGAGTGCTATGCAAGGCGACAAAAGCGACTTGAAATGCTTTGTACTCCTGCATTGTTGTCATAGCACGTTTTGGCTCAATGCTGTTGCGTGTATAGGGTGAAACATGCCATAGCAATGTGCTTAGCATATCATGGAATAGGCCCATGGCGCCGTTCAACATAGAATTCGTTTTGTTTTGTGCCATTGGTCTGCTCTGAATAGCATGGAAAGGATTCCCGCTGCGGATGATGGTTGTTTGAGCTATGGACAGGAAGGCTGACGAGCACTCTGGCTAATGCACTGCAGAGGGCCTTTTTGCGAAGGGGTGGGCGGAACTTTTGCTTGACACGTTACTCAAGAAGACTTTGCTGTTTCCTTGTGTTTGGCCAATTGGCATGCTTGATTTGACCAACTTGTACCGTGCTCGCACAGCACTGGGGATTGTTTTGATCTCAACTACTTGTTGGAACTTTTCCTCAAAGGAATGGACTTAACAACTTCTGGCGAGTCCAAATAACCACACTTTCCTTTTCCTTTTCCGTTTTTCTGCGGAACAAAAATGCTGATTCCATGCTTCAACATTTCACCCATTTTTTCGACACGTGTGTGTATATTCATATATACAATATATATTATATACATATATATTCACTAGGCTCAAGATTTCGGCTCGAGACGGTGTGGCTCGACTTCCTGACGGGCACTGGAACCCTTCTACCTCCACACTCTTGTGAAGAACGGAGGCAACTGGCAGTTCTCGCGATCGGAGCCCTGGAGATCATGACGAACGTCACATGGAAATCCTCCCTGAGCAGGGCATACCAGGTGTGTTCATGCAAGAACTGGATTTGGAGTGACCGCATTAAAGAAGGATCCTCATGTCGGAAGTGCGGGACTGCGTGGCCCAAACCCTTTGGAGGCTTTACTTCTTGGGCTCCCATGCATCGAACTCACAGCAGATGGACCAGGTCTCGATCATCTCCATCCCCTCCACCAGGTTTATCACAAGCCAAACCTCTCAAGCCTTCGAAGATCCAAAGAGAAGCAGCTCAAGTTCTGGCTCCGGCTTGGGAATCTCAACTTGGATTTGAGTTGCTCATCAAGAGCACCACCGGGGTCAGAGAAAGATGTTGCGGGTCGGTTGAAGAATCATCTGACGGCGCTCAAAGACCTCTCACAGCGGCGCCACAACCTCCAGAACAAGATCGACGCAACCACAAAGACCTTCCAGGAACTTTTGGAAGACATGAAGCTTCTTCAATCCAAGATTGAAGAGGAGCAGAAAGATCTCAATCAGACGTGCCGCCTACATGGCCATGGTCAATGCTCAGGCACCGCACGTTGTGCTGCAGGACGATGCTGAAATGAAGGACCCAGTCCCAGAAGCGGTTGCTGGCTTCATCAGCGCTTTCGGCGTTGACCTCACGGAAGATCAAAAGGCTCAACTGCAGGTCATGCTCAAGAGGCCACAGGAGGAGCTCGTTGAAGAGGCCAAACGCAGAAAGACAGACCCTGCTGCACCAACCCAGTCGTGTGGGTAGCGCCTCTCAGCTTGATGATGACACGTCTGCTCATTTGCGTGTCTTGGAAGAGGAAGCTGGGGCTGGCAAGTTTGATCACATTCATTCACTTGCTTGGGGTTCACAGTCTGATTGGTGGGCTACATGCAATCCGGCTGTTATCTCTTTAGGCTCAAGTACGAGCTCTTCTCCTCCGGTTCCGGTGGGGTATGGACCTTGGAGGTGCAAGAGCGACATCCCCCAGATCAAAGGGGATGGGTTTTTGGCTGCAGAGCTCCCGGAGGCACCGAGTTCTTCTTTGGCTCTGACGCAGCTTTTTTCATATGAATGCAGAGACTGGGAAGATGGACCTCAACTCAGCCCAGTCCAAGCTACTTCAAGTCACAAATGATGACATGAAGGAATCCTGCAAGCAGTATTTGGCACATCCATCCATGGACAACGGCCAGCAAGTTTTGACAGATCTCAAGCGCATGGAGCACTTGGTCCACAAGCACCTCGGTCTTCAAGGTGACACGGAACCATCATGGCCAATGCCGGGGTGGTTGCTCAAAACCTCACCACCGTAGCACACAATCCAAAGAATCTTTGCTCTGGAAACGCTGTGATCAGATGTTGGAGCTGGCTCAGTGGCTTCATGCCTGACCCTACGATGATCTGGGGCCATCTTCATCAGGCCTTTCGCAGGTTTCTGGGGTCTTCTCAGCCCTGCCACCTACCTGATTTGAAGCTGGACAACAAGCCGATGCAGCAGAGTTCGTCGGGCAGCTCTGGGCCACTGCGGCTCCTGCTGGCATCGGTGGTCGTTTCTTCCATGTTCGTAACACTGCAGTCTTGGAGGAACGGGAGCAGGTGCCCTTAAACAGAAGGGCGGGTCATGGGGGGTGGGTTTTTGGGTTTTTGCTTTTAGGAATTTTTAGAAGTTTGAAGGAAACTCTGCTCCAAATAACAGAAGGAAACTACATCTCTGCTCTGTCTGGTACAAACGTCTGCTTTCTACTTACTCTGGCTGCGTCAAGACCAAAAAAACCAAC